GTAAAACGTAATTAGACATGTGTTTCTAGATTTAGATTTTAACTTTTCTTGTGAAAGGATATAGCTTTCAATCTAGAAATTTGCATATCTCTGACATATCTTCCAGTATTCTAGGAATACATACGAACGCAATATTACAAAATGGTTATTTTACGCAAAGTGGATTTAATTATAATGAGTTTATCGGTGGTTTCGTTCGGTAAGATATTTATTGATATACATTTGACGAAATTAGAAATAAAGAAATATAATATTATTTGTGATAGAAGTGAATTTAAATTTGCTTAGCCGAAGATGGACTAGTTGAATTTCAATGATAGTATACATAAGATAGTATAAAATCTGCATTTTGGTTTTTATTATTACAGGAACCTATCTGTGTTCTCTTTTCACGCAAAAACTTTATTAGATCATAGAGGGGAAACATTAAAATTTATTAAATGAATTCCCTTTTTAAAGAAGAAAATCTAATCAGTTAAAGTTGAAAAAAAAAAAAAAGTTAAAGAACAAAAATTTAAGATTTTCAGAGTTAAATATAAAGAAGTAGAACATTTTTCAAAACCGTATAGAGTAAATCATAATTACATAGAAAAGTTTAAAAAAATTTTGTTTTTAAAAAATCTTTTGCTAATGATATGTGTAAACCATATTCCTTACAGCGTACTGGCACGTAGATAAAACTTTGAGAAACAAAATTCTTCTAAGTAAAAAATGATGGGATAAATTTTTCCTGGGAAAAATGTCGAATTTAACGAATTAAAAGAATTCGATTTTCAACTGAAGAGAAATCAGAAAAGAAAGCTAGGCAATTTAAAGCAAGAACTAGAAAATATTTTTAACGCTGACTACACAATAATATTTCTAACAATTGATTTCCAGTAAAGCTTTTGATCAGAGATTTAAAAATGAAAGCGAGGAGAGCTAGAAAAAAGGATTAAGGACATAATACCTTAGGCATTTAAACTAAAGTTTTTTTAAAAAAACAGTTTTCATATTTTGACAGTAGACTAAAAGGGTATGTTGAAGTTTTTTCGCTCGCAGTCAAACATTCTGCTGTCCAGCATAGCTCTTTCTACTCATCCAATCCTTTTTTTTTTTTTTTTTTTGCTTTTTTACTAAGCATCATTATCTTCACACGTACGCCATATACAATTTAAAAGCAAAACAATAATAAAAAATCTGATGTGTACACCACATGACTTCCTTATACGGAATATTAAATTATACGCATTTTTTCTTGCATTTCATTTAAACTTATTAGACTGAATTAAACCTACTTCGCCGACAGCGAATAAACCACAATAGAATAAATGCATTATTTAAAATTTACTTTGTTTACCATAGCGACACTCAGACGCTAGGTTCACTTAACAGTATGATATTTCGTTCATATTATAACTCAGAATGCACAAAAGTTATATCATTTAAAGAATTATCTAATCGTTGCCACATGTTCTATTCAAATACTATAATAAAGCTAGAACGATGTGTAAAAGAAATTAAGCAAACAAAACAAAAAAGAAATAGTTTTTCACAGAGGATTGAGTATTTCTCATTCAATTAATTCAGTTTTCACTTTGCGACAAGGCAAAAATACATAAAAACTCAAAATATCTGCATTAAAAATTACGAAGTAAATCTTAAACGCTTATTTCCTCGAAAAAATTCCAGAAAGGATTAAGCATGATTTAAATAATAAATGAAGCGTTATCTTTGTTGTTGCGAAGCTAAGTTTCTAGATTGGCAACAAAATCCGCTATCCTGCTGTTTTCAAATGTAAACAAGAGCAATGGTCGCCATCAAAATCATTATTAGGCTTAGCGGCACTTAAACAATTTTAAAATGTTGATAATTCTAAAAATATTGCATACAGATTTACTAAAGGCATAAAAACCTTAACCGGAAGATAAGAACAACATAATTCAATCCTTTTTAAAGCAAAAAATGTATAATTTTCAAACATATAAGAGTAAAGAAACTGAGATCACTGAGCCGGGTAACAGAGTGGATATATATATAAATATATTTATATACGTTTGGTGCGGCTGATTGCAACAAAAATTTGAGGTTTACATCTACATGTTATAGCAGTCCTATATACAAAATTTCAACGTTCTGAGGCTACTCGTTTTTGAGTTACGCGAGATACGTACGTACTTACGCACGTAAGTACATACGTTCGTACAGACGCCACCAAATATTCTCTTCAGAATTCATTTTAAAGCAGTTTTGCAATTTTTTTGGAGGAAAAGAGTCTTTTATTCTGTTCTTACGTACAGATATCACGCAAAAACATCGTTAAATTGCATTCGATAGCGGTCAAAATGGATATTTTCGTTGAAATATGCTGCCTGAAACTTTTCGCGATTACAATACTTCCTTTTTACTTCGTACAAGGAAGTAAAAAGCAGCATATGTTTAAAATTCCCGATGTAGCGTTAAGTGTTGGCATACATTTTTTCTGTTTCATAATCTATTAGTTCGTCATATAAATGCTCAGTTTTCTTAATAAGATGGTTTTGGTTCGTTTTTTTTTTTTTTTTCTTTTCATTATTAAGGTTTTGTGTTTAGCGGTTACTTTAAGTTTTGAACAGTTATATTAATTTTAAATATGTTTTATTATATAGTCTCCTTTCTCATCTACTAATGCCTGCATAATGAGTTTTTAGTAACGCGTTTTATGCAAATAAGTTAGAAGGGCTATTTAAGGAAGGTTCAGCTTACTTCAAGAACGAGAGCTTAGAAGTACTTAGTAGCGCGTGTTTGCCCGTCAGGCTACTTCGTTATTAAATCTACTACGATCTGCAACATTGTGCGTGCCTGCCGATAATCGCCAGCTGGGTTAAATTAAAGACCAACTACGTTAGGTATTTGTGCCTAGCTTCGGCTTAGTTTAGAATTAGATTAGTTTCTTATTTTTATTTGGAGCCCGATCGGAGGCTTCCCTGTACGCCCGAGAAGGGGGCCGTTTGTAAATATTTCTTAGAGTAAATAAAGTGTATTTTAACTCTTCTCTAGACTTTTGTTGTTATACACATGAATTTAGCGATAAGTCGCTCCATAGTTCAGTCAGTTCCTCTACGTTCAACAGAGACGAACAAGTGAGGAACGTCATATTGTACTAAATTTATTAATTAAATAGCATGTTAGCTCAGTTATGTCACATAAAATTCAATTCAACAGCAAAATCACAAAACATTTAAAAACAGCATATCTTTAGAATCTCCGATAGCCAGTCTCGCTCGCTGGAGATAAAAATATTTCATTCCGTACAGTGTTGCCATTACTCGCTTTCAAACCTTTGAGTTGGTTAATAAAAAATTCGTTAAAAATAGTAAATAAATAATAAATATTATTTTTATTATTTTTTTCACGAAATAGGAAATAAATAATAAAATATATATAACGTCATTCCATGAAAATATTGCATATTTTTAATAATATGAATCATGAATTAAATGCATTTAAATCGATCCGATTCCAAAACAAGAAGCGACTATTCTTTAGAACTTCATCTACTGCTTTTAACTAGCTTACTTTGTTAGTCCGCATCAGACAGATTCAATTTTAACAATAAATACGTTACATTTCGCCAAATGGCAACGCACTTGAACGGAAGTGAAAGGACGCATTTATAGTGATTCAACGCAAAACCTGATTTCGTGGTTAATAGCCCTTTTGCGATAAAAGGAAAATTTTGAATAAATTTTAAGAAATTTATGTAATTTAAAAAAAAAAAAACGAATATAAACTTTCATGATAGATTAAAAACAATTAAATCTATCATGAATGTTTAAATGATAGAAAGTTATCTGAAATTCTATCCTATGAAAGTTATCTGATGAATTTAAAACTAGCTTCAAAACTTTACTATAAATAAAGGGGCAAAATAGGGAGTACCTGGGGAATATTGCGTAACACCATGTAACCAATATATTATATTCTAAAAATTTTACTTGTAAAAGGAAAATAGAATTATTCTGCTTTCTTAAATTCTACTTTTTTCTTTTTAAAATGCTTTAAATATCGTCGAACAATTTTCTGGGAGGCGTAACATCAAAGAAAGAAATTAAAAAATAAATTTGAAGCGTTAATGGCCGAATTTTATTAGGCATAGCAAAAGTAATAAACTTTATACATCAATTTCCTAGTAGTAGAATAAAATATTTTTTCTATGACTAGAAAATTCATGAAATGCTAGAAAATTCATGAGACTGAAACAGTAAAAAGAAAATTATCAGTTCTGTTCGTCCTTCCTTCCCCCTTTTTTCTGTCAACTGAGTTTTGAGTATGAATTTCATTAATTTTTACGAAAGAGCTGAAGCAGATAAAATGCATATCTAATATGCTGTAAAATAAAGATACACGTGAGAAATTCATTTCTTATTTATTTTTTAAGGGTAATTTATTTTAAAACTCCTAATAGTGATTTTATTAGCATACTCAAACTATAGGATCATGAAAATGTATCAGAAGAGACTATATGGGTGATTATAACGAGAATTTTAAAGCAAGGTTCAAAAATGAGTTTTTAAGAAAATAATAATTGACTACACAGGCAAATATTTTGAGCAATGATATGCAGCAAAAGTAACAATAGCTTCCAATCTAATATCTAATAATTAGGCCAAAATGCCACGCCGAACAACGATTAGTTTTGAAATCAAACACCAAAATCAGCTTTATATTTTAAAATTTTCCAGGACGGAACCATCTTTCTCAGCTGCCAAAGTGCAAATGAACCAGATAAGATAAGAATGAACGAGATGAGATGCGGTGATCTGATCTTATTACCATATTTTATCTTGTTCATTTGCACTTTGGTAGCTGAGGCAGTGAGTCGGTAGTAAAACCATCCAAACTAGGCCTAGAAAATTAGCAAATATAACACCGATTTGTGTTGTTTGGCTTCTAAATTAATATCATCATATTCAACAAATTTTTCTTTTTTTAAATTTATTCTTTGCATATAGTATTAGTTAAACATCAGTTGAACTCACCTCACAGACGTCAGCGGGTTGCTTGCGTTTCCCTCCTTCAAAAAATGCATGCCAACCAATAATTGGGACTATCCACATAAATGATCCTAACCAGACAATTGTGATCACAATTAAAGCACGCCTTTTGCTCCTTCTGCGCAGGTACTCTAATGGTCGGGAAATGGACCAATAACGATCTAGACTCAGTACAAGCAAATTCAGTATAGAGGCAGTGCTGGCAGAGTAATCCGCTGATAACCAGAACTGGCAGACAACGAGACCGAAACGCCATCTCCCAGTTAAGACGTAAATGGAGCTGATAGGCATGACAACCAGGCCCACTGTGAGGTCAGCGATGGCAAGACTCATGATGAACATATTGCTAACCTGTGGATATAAAAAAAATGAAACGTTATTTCATTCCTGCATATAATGTAATAGAAATAATTCCTACACATAATATAATAGAATCATAAAGCAATTATGATGCACGTTACCTACTTTTAAATTATTACACTACACTATTATACAAATGATTAAATTTAAAATTCTAGAGTTAATACCACGTGTTTTAATTAGAGATGGACGATTCACCCTTAATTTATTTAAACATAATGCAGCGCTCTAACATTGGGTGGCAACAATTTGAAAAGTGATTCGCCATTTATAGTGAATCAACGCAAAGTGCCAAAACGAAATTAGTCCTTTCGGGCAAATTGCTCCTTTGGGCAATTGCCCGGAATACTATTGAAAAATATATAAAATTTTACCCTTACAATACTATGAAAAATTAAATTTTTAATGTATTAAAATTAATTACTGAAATTTCTCAAAGCAAATGAAAATTTATCACTACATAAGTATACTTGTCTGAAGAATTATAAGTAATAGTTTAAGGGGGCTCATACACCTTAAACCATCGAATATATGAGTGTTGCAAGAATTGGAATATTTTATTTGTTTTAAAAGCAATTACTTCCAACCTTTTACAGCAGACTACATAATATAGCTGCTTTGGAAACTAGTAACCAGAAAGTTTGTGTTGCCAAAAATATTTTTGTAATTTAATCCGTTTTGCGACAAAATTTTTCGTCATGTTTTCACCTTGATATTGTAAAAATGGCTAATGGTACATACTTGAAATTGGATGGAATTATTTATATGGGCACTATTTTCTAACTGAACTAAAAATCTGATGAATATTTTAATATTAAAAAAATTTATGGACGAAAACCTTACATATTTTTTTAATAAAATGCATTTTATAAACTCAACTCAAAGTAAAATGAAAATTTAACGTGAAATTCTTAGAATTTTGGATTCACAGTAGTTTCCAAATGTTATAAAAGCTATATATTAAAAATGGAATTAAATTATGCAACAGAATGTTTTAAACTGTGCGCGAAAGGTGGAAACATGACGAAAAATTTTGTTGCAAGGCGGATTAAATTATAAAAATATTTGTGGCAACATAAACGTTCTGATTATTTCAGACAGCAGCTATATAGTCAGCTGTAAAAAGTTGGAAGTAATTGCTTTTAAAATAAATAAGGTATCCCAATTCTTGCAGCAGTCACATATTCGAAGATCTTAAGTGTTTTAAGATGTACGAGTCCCCTTAATAAATATGAAGTATGATATGAGCAAAAATTTCGTAAAGAGTGTTGTAAGCTGTTAAAACTTTTAGCTTATTATTTTAAACAAGCTATTTAACTCGCATGAGTAGTGCTATTTTTTCAACACTTCTGCTACTTACTTTTGCCTACAAGGGCTACTTCCATGCACCCAAGTTCGTTCACCGATATATCAGACCGGATCAAACTACCAATATTCAGCGATTTTACCAGTCGGCCGCTTGATAGATAGTAAGTTTTAATGCTCTTCAAATTTTCACTGTTTCTGTGAACTTAAAAGCGGTTTCCTTGATAATTTGTGTTAAATGATTTTCCCCTGAAATGCGCTTGATGCCGTTTTAGAAATGGCGGGCTTATAGATTATATAACTGCTTATAATTAAAACAGCTACGTTATTGTAATACTTTCTTTTAATTCGGAGTTAGAAATACTCACATTATTCGAAAACTACTTTTAATAAAAAGCTATTTTTGGCTTGCTTTTCTTTCAGAAATATATGATCAAATATCAGTTGCTGGGTTTACCGAAAAATTTAATTCGTGGTTATATAGGGAAGAAGAAATTCACAGAATATAAATATTGCTACGGATTTTGTATTTAGTTAGCTATTTTTGGTAGAATTGTAATTAACATTGTTTTATTTCCCCGTGTAATGCAGCACGTGACGAGTTTTAAGAAAAAACTACGCCGAAAAAGTAAAAATCAGGAGCACGCGCATTTAATAAATAGATATCTCGTAATTTATAGTTAAATTGAAATAATGAAATTGTATGCTAACTGTAACTGTAATTCTACTCTTTTGCTTTCCAGAAACCTCGAGAATTACAAGAAGCTTCTCGTGACTGATTAAAAAGCTTTAAAATGCCGGAGAGAAACATCTCAGTTCAGTTGTTTACTTGGCTGTTGTTGTTTACTTAGCTGCTGTAATTTTGAGGTCGGATTAGCTTTCTCTGCTCTTTGAATTATGTTCTATTTAACGTTTCAGTAGTTTAAAATATAACTAATGTGTGAAATTGTACGAATACCTGTGAGGAAATATTTCAGCATTTTGTTATATTTCTTGCGATAAGAATAAATTTTATTAACTTTTCATCAGACTTGTGCATTAAATCTATTACGAACCCGTACGCATCCAACAATATTTAATTATTTTCTTAATATTTTACTGGAAAATACTAAAGTGACGCTGGGTATACCTTACAAGTTTATTGTTGAAGAGGAATTGATGTTGTAGAGATATTAGATATTTTTGGAAGCAGGAGAGATAAATAATGAGCAACGCCCTTGCCAGGAATCGAACTACGGACCTCTGGAACACGCGCCCAGCGTGCAGACCGTTACACCACGAAAGCATGCCAAGCAGGCGGGAGAAATACCTTATACACTCCCCGTTTTAAAGGGTGACTGGGGTTTTAAGGGACTCAGCCGTCAAATCCTGTGTGTGGAGAATCATCATCCATCACCCTTGTAGTTCAGGCGCCACTGTAGAGACATTAGGTATTTTTGGAAGCAGAAGAGCTGAAAAATGAGCAACGCACTCGCCGGGAATCTAAGCATGAAACTCTAAAATAGCATGCCTTCTCAGCTTGCAGAACTGCGAAGGCATGATAAGAAGGCGAGAGAAATACCTTATAATGTTAGCAAAAACTAGACTATGCTTAATTAAAATTAGAATTCTTCTTAAATATTTTTAAAGTCAGCCATAAGGAAAACGCCAAACTATTCTGCTTAGGTTTCTGCCTGAGGTGAAAGGCATTATTAAATTTTAAACTTTTCGCGTAATGCAATGAACAAATATTTAGAGCAAGATACTTGAGTTAATTAAGCTTAAATTAAATATAATTCTCATGTGATAGTATATCATAGGTTTAATACTACAATAATACCTTTCCTTAATCGAAAACCTCAATTAACATGAAAACTAACATCTATCGTATTCATAATAAAGATTATTTTAATGACATGAGTTATATCTTGAGCCAAAACCTAATGAGGATTATTTTAATGATGTGATAAGCAAAAGGTTTTTAAATTACATGATTCGAAGACATAGTTAAGAGTTTTATTGGTTTATTTTCTAACTCTTGAAAAGCAATAAGGATTATTTTAATGATCCCAGCAATTTACTACTTCTTAAATGCTTCAGCACTCTGGCTGGTTGCTTGATAAAGTGGCAATGAAATTAAGGATTACCATATCTGGGAAAGTCATCATATTTTTGCTTTAAAAAAGAGAGAGATGACATTTTTCCGTGCTTAATCTTGAGAAGATCTTTTCCTTAATGATGAATTATAAGGTATCAGCAGACAGTCTCGAAAAACTGCTAATGGGGACAGCGACATTTGCAGGTTAAAAAACCTAAAAAGTTACAGAAAAAATTACTTTCTACGATTCATGGTTAAACACGTACCAATGTTCTTTACGTTAAAATTCTTGTCTTCAAAATGATGGATAGCTTAAGCCTGCTATCTAAACAAAAGGAATGTCTGGATTTTGCATTTAATTTTTTAAAGAGTGATCTCATTTTCTTTTAAAACCGTGCTAATCTTTTGACAAAAATGGATAAAATATTCTCTATCCAAAAGCTTCTGTTTACGTGTGAGTCGAAGTAAGGAGCTGATAGAGATCTGTAACTTCTGACCCCAATAAAAGCATTGTTTTGAGTTTTATAGCTTAATAAAAATATTTAAAAAATAAATTTAAAAAAAAAACTGAAAGCTTTTAGATTTTACATTGCGGCTAAAGGGGTGTTTTTTAAACCTTTTGTGCGTTACTTTTATTTATTAAATATCATGTTCTTCTCATTTGATCCATAATTGAATTCAACAGCAATATTGCAAAATAGTTTTAAAATGAGCATATCTTTAGAATTTCTGATGCACAGTCTCGCGCGCTGGAGATAAAAAAAATTTCCATGTACTGTCGCTTTCAAATCGTTGAGTTCGTTAACGAAAAATTCTTTAAAGTGTTACAAAATATGAAATCGATGATAAAATAAAATTCAAATTCCAAATTAGGGCTTCCAGATGCCCATATTTCATTGAGGATTACGTTATTCAAAATTTGGTGGCTCTAGGTAACTTTGTTTTATCACAATGCGAGAAACCTATATACATTTATCCAGATTCTTCATTGTTCAATTTCTTTAAATATAACACACAGCGATAATATTTGGTGGCAACATTTTTAAAAAGAACCCACATTTAAAGCTTTTAACGCAGAATATCAAAACGAAATTAATAGTTCTTCTGGGCTAACGACCTTTGAGTTAATAATATATAACTCACAGGCTTTATCTATTGGCAACATTTCTTACTTTGCTAGGACAGGATCTATTGACATTTACATAATGAAAATAATAATGCATTGTTTGAGGCATTAACAACACAGCCACGAATGAAAATTTGAAAGCATTGTTTCGAAAACCTTCAAGTACATAGTTAAAATTTGTTAATTAAAGAATTTTCGTACAGAGTACAGGGTGTAAATAGCATCAGTTTGCGAACACATTATTCACCAAGAGTTAGCGTATATTAGTTCAGTGTATATAACAACTAGGAGCACTTCCATGAGGTGTTTCGATGGTCTGCTACAGCGTTGTTTCCTTAATTTCGTATTCCAATTGTATGGTTTTAAGTAGCTTACGTGCTAATAGGGTTGTATTGATATACCACCGAACATGGACCTCTCGAATATGCCCGAGAGTGCTACCGTTACACCACGAAAGCACGCTGGAAGAAGGAAGAAAATAACGCCTAAAATAACATCACTTCCTATTCAATCCAAATCAAAAGAATTAACTGACTATTATAGTTCACAGGTAAAATCGATATTTTATGGGGATTTCTTTACATTTGCTTTTCTTTTCATAAATTGAGAAAACATGTTCTGTGGATTACTAATTTATATAAAAACTGATTGGTATTCAAGAGAATGAAATGCAGTTTTCAACACATTCGAACGCTGCAAAT